TTGGTAGCCCAGGCTGGCCTCGAACTCACAGAGATCCGCCTGGCTCTGCCTCCCGAGTGCTGGGATTAAAGGCGTGCGCCACCACCGCCCGGCTCAGCAAGTGCTTTTTAACTGCTGAGCCATCTCTTGAAGCCTAAGTCAGGCTATTAGGATGTAGCCCCTAGCTGGCCTGGAATTCATGAGATCTGCCTGCCTCTGTCTCCCGAGTGCTGGCACCAAGGGAGTAGTGTGCCAGCACACTCGGCGTGTGTTGGTTTTTATTGTCTTGATCTTTCCTTAACATTTTCATCACTAGATTATGTACTCGTGTTAGTAATGTCTTTTATAGCAAATAATAACTTCCCTGTGGAGCATGGTTTTTCACTACATGAACCTCAAACATAAAAAATAAAATAAAACCAGCGACAAGACCCGAGGAAGCAGGAAAGGATAACCTTAACCTATTCCCGATGAATTCTTCAAATTATAAATATCTGATCTTACAAAGAGTAAACAGAATGAGAAATAAAGGGACAGGAGTCAATTTGGAAAGCCAGATTAAAAAATGACATTGGCAAGGCGAATTTGCTGTGTGTGGGTGTGTGTGCTATGTTTAAAAGTAAAGTGAGTCGTTCTTTTGGAATTATTTTCAGCACAGCTGATTTTTAACATTTCCTTCCATAACATTCAGAAATCATTAACAAATTTTGCATATTTGATTTTTTTTTATTTTATTTAACTTTTGTTGCTTTCTTTTAACACTGGTCATGTTTCACCTTTTTTTTTTTCATTCCCCTGTCTGCAATCAACTTCTTCATTCCACTAAGGCTGGGCACAGAGTAAGTTTCTTTTCTCCGCTCCTACTAACAATGGTGGTTGGGTGGCTGATAGCGGATCTCTCAAATAGGAAATGACCGGATCCCCATGCTGTGTTTGGGTTGTAACGAGACTGCCATTTCTGGGACCTTTGCTGCCTGTCCTGTGTGTCTAGCCTGGTTTGTCACCGTGGAATTTAGGCAGGGGCACTCTGACGCGTGTCATGGATTTCTCATAACTTGGTCACCAGCAGAAAACCATAGGGTTCTGTCCTACCACGAGTCCTTGATAGTTCCCGTGTGGCCACTCGTCCAGGGACAGTTTTCACATATTAATATTGATGGCACCTCCTAGAACGGGTGTCTCCAGTCATGATACAGTACTGTGTCTCACTGATGTTCTTTCTGGTACTTTCTGACTGAACAGTTCATTTTCAGTCCCAGAGATTTTCAGCCTGTTTTAGACATAGACCCTCTTAGGAGTTCAGAGTTCTTCCTTTTAATATAGAAAATGTTTTTCAGCATCCCACAGTAACTCTGTTCATCAATCCAAATCTGAAGGGATCCCCCTCTAAAATGAAGATTGTTCTATATCAAGGTACTTGTCTGTTCATTGAGGGTGAATACTTTGTAGTGGTTTTAGCTTCCAAAGGTTTTCCCCAAAGTGTGCTCATTTTGTGAGCACCTGTTACCTCAGCCATTCTGTGTCCTTATAAGTTTCTTTTCTTTACAGTCATTTTGATTTTTGTTGCCAGATGAATCACGCTTGTTTTAGTAATCACTCTTATTTTAATTTTTTAAAAATTTAGTGATTTTATGTGGATGTGTTTTGTCCTCATGTCTGTCTGTGCACCCATGTGCCTGGTACTCTCCAAGGCCAGAAGAGGGGATCAGATCCCTAGAACTGGAGTTACAGACAGTTGTGAGTTACCATGTGTGTGCTGGGAACTGAACCCAGGTCTTAACCACAGAACCACTCTCCAGCTGCCAAATTAACAATTTAAAATTAATTTTAACATTGTGGTGGCAAAAGTATTTGTTCTATCATATTAAACATGTAATGCTTTCTTTGGTACTATTCAGGGATAGCCATGCCTTGCAAAGCAGTTAGGGTACGTGCATTGATGATGGACATCTGTATGAGGAAGATCCTGGAAGGTGTGCCTGTCCTATTCAACATGGACAGTCTCTTCTGTTGCTCTCGGGGGAGCAGGTGTTATCTTTAAACGAACTTTTAAACAATACTTTGTTCAATCTTGAAATTTTTCAATTTAAAATTACATAGGATTGCCCCTACCCCTTTTTGGACAGGATTTCACTGTGTAGCTTTGGCTGGTCTAGAACTTTCTATGTAGACCAGGCTGGCCCTGAACACACAGACATCCGCCTGCCTCTTCCTCCTTGGTGCTTGAATTAAAGGAGTGAGCCAGCATGCCTGTCTTAGGCTTGGCTTTTTGATTCTTTGATATTCAGAGCAGATTTTTGTCATCTGAGACTTTGTGGCAACTCTAAACTACCTCCTGCTAAACTCATCACTCAGCTGTCTGGGTTTTTATTTTACTTCTCTAGTGCACATAAATGATTGTGAAAGGGTTATTTTTTAACTTTACAAACTATACTGAGAGGGTGGAAGCAGCAGTTTTATCCAGGTAATATGACAGCGGAGGTGTCTAGTGAAAGAGTGAAGATAGCCAAATTTATAAATAGATGCACATATGCATCTGTAGAGACTCCAAAGCATAGGCTTTGTGCCCTGTAACATACTGCTAAGAATTTGAAGTAACGAAATCAGTTAATTTTGGCTAATGTTCTCCAAAGAGTTCTTAGCACAAACTATAAAATTAACTTCTCCCCATTATTTCATTTTTATATTTATATGCATACATATATATGTATGTATGTATATTTTTTGTGTGTGTGTGATAGTTTCACTTTGCAGCATTGGCTGGCCTAGAACTGGAACTTGCCGTGTAGCCCAGGTTGGCCTTGAACTAGCAGTCCTGTGTCAGCCTCCTGAATGCTGGGATTTACAAGCATGAACCTCTCTCTCTCTCTCTCTCTCTCTCTCTCTCTCTCTCTCTCCCTCCCTCCCTCCCTCCCTCCCTCCCTCCCTCTCCCTCTCCCTCTCTCCTCCCATCCCTCCCTCTCTCTTCTCTCTTCTCTCTCTCTCCTCTCTCTCCTCCCTCCCTTCCTCTCTCCCCCCTTTTCTTCTTTCTCCTTTTTGAGATGAGGTCTCACTGTATTATCTTTGGCTGGCCTGAAACTCATTTTGTAGACGAGGTTGTCTTCAAACTCATGGAGACCCACCTGCCTCTGCCTCCTAAGTGCTAGGATTAAAGGTGTGCACCACGAAAGCCCAGCCCTATCATTCAATTGAAACAAAAACAAAAACTGTTTTGCCTGCATGTATCTAATCACACCAGCCAGTGCAGTACCCGAGACGGTCAGAAGAGGGTATCAGATCCACTAGAACTGGAATGAAATGGTTCTGAGCTGTCTTGTGGGTGCTGGGAATTGAACCTGGGACCTCAGCAAGAGCAGCCAGTGCTCTTACTATTTAACCCATCTCTCTAGGGCCATATTATTTCATTTCTGTAATTTCAACTTTAACAATGTTTTTGCAGTTAAATAGGTTTTTATATTACAGTTGCAGAAAGGATTACTGTGCCATTCTTCAAAACTGTTAGATGCTATAGGTTCCAGCAGTTCATTGTTCAGTTTGCAGTTTTCATTTATTCAGTATAATTTATAGGTTTCTAACTCAATCTTTTACTTTGTACTTTTTCTGAGACAGTATCTCCCTGTGTGACTGTGGCTGACCTAGAACTCACTCTGTAGACTAGGCAGGCCTTGAACTTGCCTTGCTCTCTTGCCTCTGCCCCCCTAGTGCTGGGATTGCAGGTGTGTGCTCTCACACTTGGCTAGTGAAACGTTGTAGAAAACTTGATTTTATTCTATTTCTATTGGTAAATAAAATAGCACAACTTTTGATGTCCAAGATAAGATTAGCTTAGAACAGGTATGGTACCACTGTGTTTGAAGAGCCAGGATAGGAAACGTGTTAGTAACTTCTGCTCTGTTGGGTTCTTGGATCACTGGCAGGTTTAAAGGGGAATGGGGAGGGCCATGTTGTTTGCCATCGTGTCTAACGCCGCTGTGTTTGTTTCACTCCGACCCCTGAAAGTTGGTGTTGGTCTTAGGAGATCTGCACATCCCACACCGCTGCAACAGCCTGCCGGCGAAATTCAAAAAGCTCCTGGTGCCAGGGAAAATCCAGCACATTCTCTGCACTGGAAACCTTTGCACCAAGGAGAGTTATGACTATCTCAAGACTCTGGCTGGTGACGTCCACATCGTAAGAGGAGACTTCGATGAGGTGCCATTTCCTTTCTTCCCCTCTGTGCCCCCTTCTCGCTGCTTTGCATGAACTGTGTCCTTTAGACTCAGAGTTCCACTGCTGTCCCACCTCCTTTGAAGGTCACCCCAGGGCCTAGAAGAATGTTTGGTACCTGAAATCTTGTCCAAGTGTCCACGATGCCTGGGTTCAGTCCTCACCATCACAACTATTTGTCACCCAAGTATAAAATTACAGATGAAGTATCCATTAGTCTGCAGGCAGAAGCATTCTGGACTTAGGCATTCTCAGGTTCCGGGACACGTGCATATATATAAAGAGAGGTAGGGATGAGAACCAGGGCTAAACAGCAAATTCCTTTCTGTTTCATTCCTGCATACCTTATATGCGTGGCCTGAAGATACAAGGTGAATTCCGGGACCCTGTCAGGAGAGGGAATAAAAGTAAGATTATGAAGGGTAGTGGTAGCGCACACCTTTGGTCCGAGCACTTGGGAGGCAGAGACAGCCAGATCTCTGTGAGTTCGAGGCCAGCATGGTCTACAGAGTGAGTTCCAGGACAGCTAGAACCACACAGTGAAACCCTGCCTCAAAAAACCAAAAAGAAAATAGGTTTGTTTTTTTTTTTTTTAATGTTTTGGTTATTTTTTGGTTTTTCGAGACAGGGTTTCTCTGTGTAGCTTTGCACCTTTCCTGGAACTCACAGAGATCTAGCTGTCTCTGCCTCCCAAGTGCTGGGATTAAAGGCGTGAGCCACCACCACCTGGCAAATAGTGAGATTCTTGAAAATTACTTTTCTTCTGACCTTTAATAAATATATCGGAATTGAACAATTCACAATAATAAACATGATTCCAATATGAAGAAATTATTTTGTGCTTCTAGGAATCTTAAGCTTTTCAAATATTATAACTTGGTTGGTGCTTTCAAGGGTTTAGGGCCATTAAGGTGGCTCTGGGTAAAGATGTTTGCCACTAAGCCTGATGACCTGGTTTCATCCCCAGGACCCACGTGGTTGAAGGAAAGAACCGATTCCAAGTTGTCTTTTGACTGACACGTGTACAGTGGCACACATGCACACATGCACACACAGACACACACACTAAAAATTAATTTAAAAATCTCAGACACTGCCGGGCAGCAGTAGCAGTGTACACCTTTAATCCCAGCACTCGGGAGGCAGAGGCAGGTGGATCTCTGTGAGTTCGAGGCCAGCCTGGTCTACAGAGTTCTAGGACACCAAGACTACACAGAGAAACCCTATCTTGGAAACTCCCCTACGTTCCCCCCCAAAAAAACAAAAAAAACCCCTCAAAAACCACAAAGGTTTTCTTTATACCAAACAAAATGAACATACAGTGTTTGTATTTAGCAGATTTAAAAAGATTTGGGGTAGACTGTGAAGATGGCATGGTGATGAAAGACTGGGGATATGAAAGAATAGCCTTTATTGACTTGTGTATAGGTCTAGTGTATTGAAAAATATAAGACGTCTCTGTGTTAAAGGCAGTTTAATTAGCAAGGCTAAGTTTCATTTCTAGCTTGCTAAGTGCACAAACTCTAGAGCCATGTAACCAGGGTTTGGATCTTACCTCAGCCAACTTATTTGGCTTGTAACCTTGGGCAAGTTACTTCAGCTTTGTGTCTTAGTTTCCTCATCCATAAAATGGGTATCATAACTATTAAAGCCTGGGATATAATTTAAATAAATCCTAGCTTACAGGTTGTGTGCCCTAGGTTGTGAAAAATCACAAGTTTGGGAATAATTATTCTCCTTCTGAATTTTTTACTACAGTATTTGGGTGTGCATGTGTACACATGTGCCATAGTCCTTGTGTGGAGGTCAAAGGACACCAGCTTGTGAAGTCAGTTCCCTCTTCACCATGTGGATCCAGGGATAGAATCCAGGGTGGGGGCAAGCACCTGGACCTGCCGGGCTATCTCACCAGCCCACAAATAATTATTCTTTACAGCATGCCCCAAAGAACCCATAGTCTATAGAAATTAACTCAATAAAGTGGTTGCTTGGCAGCTTCCAGTTTACGTTGGCTGAATTGGCTTTTTGTTTTAGTTTTTCTAAAGTTTTTTTATGTACACAGTGTTCTGCCTGCATGAATGCCTGCAGGCCAGAAGAGGGCAGCAGATCTCATTACAGATGGTTGTGAGCCACCATGTGGTTGCTGGGAATTGAACTCAGGACCTCTGGAAGAACAGCCAGTGTTCTTAACCTCTGAGCCATCTCCAGCCCCTGACTGGGTTTTAAAAACCATTGCAGTATTACAGGCCGAGGAGAAACTTTTTATAAATGTATTTGTTGTAGGGGGCTGTCTGAAGAGAGCTATAGGAGGTTGGCTGTTTCAGCAAATGGAGTCAGTGTCAGTCTATCTGAAATGTGTATTGTCTTTGTGTCTCTTTTTTATATTAGAATCTCAATTATCCAGAACAGAAGGTTGTGACTGTGGGGCAGTTCAAGATCGGTCTGATCCATGGACACCAAGTTATTCCATGGGGAGACATGGCTAGCTTGGCCCTGCTGCAGAGGCAGTTTGATGTGGACATTCTTATCTCAGGACACACACACAAATTTGAAGCATTTGAACATGAAAATAAGTTCTACATTAACCCAGGTTCTGCCACTGGAGCCTATAATGCCTTGGAAACGTAAGTACCACAACTTAGCGTGTAGAGGTTTGGAAAAGGTAGTGAGTGCATGTGTGATGTCTCATAAAGTACATGTGTGGTGGTGCACACCTTTAATCCCAGCTCTTTGGAGGCAGAGGCAGGCGGATCTCTGCAAGTTTAAAGCCAGCCAGGGCTACATAGTGAGATCCTGTTTAAAAAAACACACAATAAATAGGTAAATCTTAATGTCAGCAATACCTTTTTATGATTCGTTTCTTTGTTTTTGAGACAGGGTTTTCCTGTATAATAGCCTTGGCTGCCCTTGAACTCACTTTGTAGACAGGCAGGCTTCAAACATACAGAGATCCACCTGCCTCTGCCTCCCGAGGGCACCGCCACCACCCAGCTACTGTGTTCTTCTTAGTATGCAGGTAACAATCAGAGTTCTCCTTGAGTTCAATCCCTTGAATTAAAATGTGCAGTGCTATTGCTTTAGTACAAAACACTGACTGTTTACTTTTCTTCCAGAAATATTATTCCGTCGTTTGTGCTGATGGACATCCAGGCTTCCACAGTGGTCACTTACGTCTATCAGCTCATTGGAGATGACGTGAAAGTAGAACGAATTGAATACAAAAAATCTTAAAGCTAGGCTTGTCTTGATCATTTTGTTTTGTTTTTTCATTTCCTTGTTCAAATCAATTAATTAAACACTTATGAGGCACACAGTTGTATCACTTTTATAATATTTTGCACTAAAAAGTCTTCTCTGTTTAATACATAGTTGCTCTAAGCTTCTTGTAAACTGTAAGAATATACTTAGTTTGCAGTATATGATTTCTATGACAAGAAGTCCACCTTACAGTACAGGGCCATGTTAGAAAAATGTATCTTTGTAAATATCTTCCTTCTTGGTATTTGGACTTCATTATGAAACTAGTGCATGAAGAGAAAGAATCCAGAATTTCTGTGTATGTTTTCTCTTCGCTGGTAATAAATGTTTACCTTCCATTTAGACTTCCTTGAAAACCTGTGTTTGATTTAAAAACCATAGACTTGAAATCCCAGCATTCAAGAGACAGAGGCAGATGGATCTCTTAAGAGTTGTATGCTATGCCTGGTGGTGGTGTATGCCTTTAATCCCTGCACTTGGGAGGCAGAGGGAGGGAGGCCAGCCTGGTCTCAGAGTGAGTTCCAGGACAGTCAGGGCTACACAGAGAAACTCTCTCCCAAGAAAACCACAAACCAAAAAAAAAAAAAAAAAAAAAAAAAAAAAAAAAAAACAGGGCTGGAGAGATGGCTCAGAGGTTAAGAGCACTGACTCTTCTTCCAGAGGACCAGGGTTCAATTTCCAGTACCCACATGGTGGCTTATTACTGTCTGTAACTCTAGGAGTTACAATACCTTTGCACAGACACACCTGCAGGAAAAACACCAGTGCACATAAAATACATGTTTAAAAATTCACTTTTATTGGCAAGTAAAATTTTAATTGTCCCCAGCTAGAAACAAGCACACATTACATGGCTGTCATTGGTACACAGAAGTATACTGGATGAAGAAGGCTGCTGTAAATTTCTCAACACCCAGATGACACACTGGTGACTAGCACTACCCCATCCATGGCTCACAACTCTTCCCCGTCCACCTCTGGCTCAGCATCTGGATGTTAGCTGCTGCCTGAACTTGGTATGGAGCCTGTCGGGTTGAGGTGAGCTGTGCCCGGCTCCTGAATGGACATGGACTGCATGCACTTATTCAGGAGATCTTCCTCCTTTGTTTCTTCATTCATGCATGGTTGAGAATCCTCTAAAGAAACGGAAGGGAAGATTAGTGTTTATAGTGTGTTTTCGAAATAAAGTTTTTAGTATATGTGTATGGATGTTTGCCTGCATGTGTGTCTACGTACTGTGTGTGTGTGTGTGTGTGCCCACAGAGGGCAGAAGAGGGCATCAGATCTCAAACTGGATGGTGGTTGCTGGGAATTGCAGGTCCTCTGGAAGAGCAGCCAGTGCTCTTAAACGCTGAGTCTTCTCTCCAGCCTCATTTACCTATTTCTTGAGACAAGGTCTTTGTTGCTCTGGCTAGCCTGTAATTTGGTATGTCAGACCAAACTGGTCTCCCTCTCCACAGAGATCCACCTGTCTTTGTACCCCAGGGGGTGCAAAGGGATTAAAGGTGTGTGCCACGGGGCTGGAGAGTTGGCTCAGCGGACAGGAGCACTGGCTATTCCAGAGGACTGGGGTTCAAATCCAGCACACATATGGCAGTTCAGAACTGCCTGTGACTCCAATTTCAGGGGATCCAACACCTTCAAACAAACATTCATTCAGGCAAAACACAAATGCATATGAAATGAAAGTAAATATAAAAGTGTGTGCCGCTGGGCGGCGGCGGCGGCGGCGGCGGCGGCGGCGCACGCCTTTAATCCTAGCACTCAGGAGGCAGAGGCAGGAGGATCTTTGTGAGTTCGAGGCCAGCCTGGTTTACAGAGCAAGCTCCAGGAAAGGTGCAAAGCTACACAGAGAAACCCTGTCTCGAAAAAACCAACAAAAAAGGTGTCAGCATACATTGCTGGATATAAAATTCTAAGCACTACCTTTAAAATGACCCAGCTTTTAGCAAAGACAAATTCCCTGTTTTCCACCCAGTCACCCCCCTCCTTGCCCCGCCTCTTTCTTACAGTAGCCGCAGCACTGTATTAAAGCACCTACTGACAGCACACTAGTGTGCACGCCCACTGGTTTGAAAAGTCTTCTGGTTGAGGGAGTTACGAGTTAAAGTGGTCAGTTACGTCTTCAGTGTCTCCATATTCCTTTAGTTCTTTCTCATGGCTTAAGGAGCTCGGCAGTGTTTCCTCTACTGGAATCTCCCTAGCCTTTTAGAACAGACTTAACCCTCTCCTGCCCTTTCCTGTATGTCTCAGGATAGGACTTTGCACATGGGAGGCAGGCATCTAACAAATACTTCCAAGCTTGGTGTAATGGACAAGCCCATAATCTCAGCACTTGAGAGGCTGAGCTAGAAAGATCCCAAATTCAGGGTTAGTTTGTGCTAGAGAGAGAAACCCAGTTTAAAGCAAAACCACCACGAAACCCTGAAGGACTGGGGTGCAGGTCCCTGTGAAGAGCGTAGACAGCACAGGAAAAGAACAAACTGGACTCTCTGAGTAGTGCACTCTCCTTTTTCCCCCTGATTTTTCGAAACAGGGTTTCTCTGTGCAGCCCTGGCTGTGCTGAAACTCAACTGTGCAGACCAGGCTGGCCTCGAACTCAGAGATTCACCTGCCTGTCTCCCGAGTGCTGGGATTAAAGGCGTGCGCCTCCACTGCCTGCCCAGCAAGTAGTGAATTCCTTTAAATAGAAGCATAAACTATTTCACGTTTAGTTGTTTGGGTTTAGTTTTTGAGATAGGGTATTACTGTGTAGCTCTAATGAATTGATGTAGACCAGGCTGCCCCCTGCTTCTGTGCTGGAATATATGCCATGTGCCATCATATTTTTTACTTGTAGTAACAGAGCTCATCACACTTAAAAATTTTAATCAAGACATTACTAAAATGACTGTATCTGGTTTAGTATATTTTAAACAAAGTATTCAAAAATGCAAGGCAGGCAGGTAAATTCTGCCCACCTATAATTCTAGTACTTGGGAGGTAGAGGTCCACCTGGGCTGCATGAGACCTTGTTTCAAAAACAAAAATCCTTTAACTCCATGTGTATATGTGTGTGTGTGTGTGTGTGTGTGTGTGTGTGTGTGTGTGTGTGTGTGTGTGTATGCCTGCTTAATTCCACGTTTACCTGGTAGCAAGAGCAGTCTGCTTGGTCTTCTAAAACTCTTCAGTGACTTACATCTTGGTTTCGACGCATAGCCAATTTTTAACCTGTGACAAAGGGAAATACTTTAATTGGAGACAGCAAAGTGCACACGGCTATGGAACTCAAAATACAAGATCCTTTTTACTAGCTGCTGGCGTCACCAAAGACCCTTCCTTCCCCAGAGTCTCCTGTGATTATTAACCCTGAGATGCAGCACTATTACCAGTTTGGATACTGAAGCTTCTGGTGTGTGTTGTAAGCAGTGAGTTTGTTTTTTGAGACAGTCTCATGCAGCCCAGACTTGCCTCGATTTCACTCAGTACACCAAGACGCCCTTAAACTCCTGATCCTCCACGTACCCAGAGTCCAGGCTTAGCCACTCTACCTGCTGACGGCACGTTCCCCCTCCTCCCTCCTGGCTTCATAGTCCTCCCCTTGGCAGGAGCACCACATGCAGCTTCTGGAGGACTGCATCATTCAGAACTTGAATGAGAAGCGTAGTCTGTCTCTGGCTGATCCAGAATTTTTTTATTTGTTATTTACCGTGTGTTTGAATATGGGTGTGTGTGCTGCAGTGCACATGTGGAGGTCAGCAGACAGCTTTGGGGAGTCTTCTTTCTCCCTACCCGGGTTCTAGGGATCAAACACAGGCTGTCTGGCTAGCATAGCAAATGCTTTTACCTGCTGAACCATCTTGCCCTGATCAAAAGATGTTTGCAAATCCACAAAGTATCTCGTGAAAAAGAGTGATGTGGCTGGGTGTGGTGGCAGACCTATACTTTCTAGCATGTGGGAAGCTGAGGCAAGAGGATTGCCTTGAGTTTGAGGCATACCTAGGCTACGTCATGTCACAGAAACTCAAACTCCCTGAAGTGTCATATCCCACTCATCTCAATGAAGAGGAAGTGGCCTGCCTCCCTGAGTTTAGCAGAGTGAACATATAGGAAACGAGAGTTCTAATCTCAGGCAGATCCCCTTCAGACAGAACTGGGTACATTTTTTCCTTCTTAAACTCAAGAAACAGACCCTTCTTTGTGTCTCAGTGGCCGCCAAAGGGAATGTATGATCATTTCAGGTGTTGCAGCTGCAATGCTCAGAGCGTCTCCTCTGTCCAGATGATGTCGCCACGCAGTGCAGGGGGAATGCTGTTTCTGTGAGTAGCGAGAGCTGATGTGGCTCCTGGGATGAGCGAGGACACCTGTCACACAAATCACCTGTTAGCTGACCCCCTCACTTCTCAGAAGAACTCACGAGAACCCAAGGGGCGGTGCACCTGCCTGGCTTTTGTGAGCCGTGGTGAAGCATGTGCATGTACTGCCTCTTCATTAAGGTCCTCATGTAGCTGGAGTTGCAGATCTTAGCAATGCTGCACAGGTAGCGCTTCTGGCCTGAGGTGAGTTCTGGGTGCTGAAAGACAGAATGAGGGGTCTACTGACTGCTGCAGTGCAGAAGGCCGGTGGGTCCTGGTGCTCACAGAAAGGCATGCTGGGGATAGTGAACACACACACACACACAGGGTCATCTCTCCTAAGGGAGATTTATAACCTGTGATTGATAGCCTAGTGACCTTTGCACTGTGTAGCCAGGCAACACCAAATCCTCCCCCAGACCCTTATCAAGGAAGGATTTCCTCAGTTAATCTGTAGTACCTATGTTGTACTTTACAAAGAGTTTTGATGTAGTCACGTGTTAGCTTTGCTGTGCACACGGAGATTGAGTTAATTATACCAGGAACTTTTCCCCAAATTGCACTGTGTTTAATTATAGCCTAAAATAAACTGCTTGAGGTCAGACCCTTGAAATTTGACCCAACACCAGCCTCTGAGTTGTGGTGAACACAACTTTTCTGCCTTCTCTCTCACAGACTGACACTCTGCTGGCCTTGGTGGTCACAGAGACCCCCTCGCTGGGGAACACAGGTTAGCAGTCATCTTACTTTGAAAGGATGGCTGTTGAGGGCTGTCCCACCTCGTCTCTGGTTTTCACACGCAAATCCAGCTAACTCAACTTGGCCAAAGGAGAAGGAAATGACCACTTATTATAACATGCACGTGGCTCTGGCTGCCATTCCACAGTAATTCAGGTATCCTTTGAGCTTGAGAACCAAAGGAACATGTTCCAGGAGGGAAGAACTTAGAACTAGGGAAGGAGGGTCTCTGCTCTCTGTCTGTAAGCTTTAGTACCCCATCTACTTTCTCAAGTTGGACAGTTTGCCCTTTTTAACTTATTTATTCATTTATCTATTAATTTAGTGTGCATGGGGGGAGGGGCTGGGGGCGGGGTCACGGAACAACTTGCAGCTATTGGCTGTCTCCTGCCACCATGCGGATCCCAGGAATCCAACCCTGGTCCAGGCTGGTGTCAAGCACCTCTCCCAGCTGGGCCTTCTCCCAGGCCCTCGCCATCTTTCTGTGGCTTTTGAGGGATAAGATGGGACCTGAAAGCAGCTTAGTTTGCTTGGTCTCCACTAAAGAATCTGCTGTCTCTGTGGAGCATACAGTAAGCTCGTTTCCAACCCACCTTTTTAAAAATTATGTGTCTATACGTAGGTATGCGCACACGTGCAGGTGCCCACAGAATGCAGAAAGGGGTGTCCAGTCCCCTGGAGACTAGACATGGGTGTTAGGAACTGGAACTCTGGTCCTCTGCAAGAGCAGTGTGTCCTCTTAACCACTCAACCATCTCCTCAGCCCCTCATTTTTTTTTTTTGAAACAGGGTTTCATACATCCCAGGCTGGCCATGACCTTGATATGTAACTGAGAATGACCTTCAATTTCAGGTCCTCCTACCTCCATCTCCTGAAGACTGGGATTACAGGTGAGTGCCACCATACCAGGTTCTTTTTAAACCTAAGTTTGACTGAGTGTATTTCCTTTTTAAAAGAAATACATCCTTCCTTAAGATGCACAACTCAGCCGGGCAGTGGTGGCGCCCACCTTTAATCCCAGCCCTGGGAAGCAGAGGCAGGTGGGTCTCTGTAAGTTTAAAGAGAGCTCCAGGACAGCCAAGGCTACACAGAGAAATCCTGTCTCACCCCTCCAAAAAAAGATGACGACTCATTTATATATGTATATATACACATAGAACTTATATTATTAAGTCATTAATCCAAAGAAGAGTAGGAATGTTGGCCAGAAGAACCTACCAGTCTACAGAAAACTTTATTAGCCTTAATTCATATAATCTACATTACTCTAGAAAGGAGACTTCAAGCAGTTATGGGCAGTTTTGTTGGTTGGTTGTTGACACGAGGTCTCTTGTAGACTAGGCTGGCCTCAAACCATGAAACCTAAGGCTGGCCACAATTCCTTATCTTCCTGTCTGTCCCTCCCGGATGCTAACATTATAGCCATGAGCCACCACCCCCTTAGACTCTGCTGGCTTGTCTGAACAAAGTGTCACTGTGTTACTCTGGCTTGTATCAAACTCCTGGGCTCAAGCCATCCTCCTGCCTCAACCTCCCCAGTAGCTGGAATTACATGCACACACCACCATGCTTACCTCTCACAGGTGTGATTCTTAATAATAAAAATCAGCTGGGTGGTGGTGGCACACGCCTTTAATCCCAGCACTTGGGAGGCAGAGCCAGGTGGATCTCTGTGAGTTCGAGGCCAGCCTGGTCTACAGAGAGAGATCCAGGACAGGTACAAAGCTACACAGAGACACCCTGTCTTGAAAAACAAACAAACAAACAAACAAACAAACAAACAAAAAGAATAAAAATCAATAGTTGTTAGCTGGGCAGTGGTGGCACATGTCTTTAATCCCAGCACTCAGAAGGCAGGGGCAGGTAGATCTCTGTTAGAGGCTAGCCTGGTCTACAGAGCGAGTTCCAGGACAGGCTCCAAAGCTATAGAGAAACTGTCTCAAACCACCCACCCCCCCAAATCAATAGTTGTAAAATCCTTATTGCTAATTTCTTTACCTGCTTGCATTTTGTAATCCTTGAGTGACCTCTCTGAGTTTGGGTTTTTATCTCTGGAATGCCTTAGTGATTGGTACTTTCAGCTTCCTGATAGAGATACATTAGCTCTGAGGTACCATAAGCCTGGAAAAAACTCTTGTGACAGGGATTCTATAATCCTTGTAGTCATTCATGAATGAATCCAACATATTTACTGACTGACTCTGTTTTTAGGGCAGGTGGGTTTTGTTTTTGATTTGTTGTTGAAACAGGATTTCACTATGTAGCCCTGGCTGGTTTCAGACTTTCTTTGTAGACCAGGCTGGTCTCAAACTCAGAGAAATCTACCTGTCTTTCCTTTTCCAATGTTGGGATAAGGCCTGTGCTACCAGACCCATTTTTTTGTTTGTTTTTTCAAGCCTGAGGACATTTTTTTTTTTTTTTTTAATTTTGAGGGAAGATACAATAAGCCAGGTAAGCCGAGAACCCTGGCAGCTGCCAGGAAGAGGAGATGAGCGAGTCATGCCTTTCAAGTTGGTACGGAGGTCAGAGAAGCAGGGAGAAAGCCTAGAGTGCCGGGGAAAGGATGCTTAGGCCTTGGCAAGTGTCCAGAAGAAGAGCTAGAAGAAAAACGGAAGCAGACAGGCTACACAGTGTTACATGAGCATGCTCGGTAGGAGGCTGCCTTCACGGACTCCTTGACAGTACACTAGATACACCAGGTAGTCTGCTGGGCTTTAACTTCTATCTAAGTAGTTTATTTTCAATCACAAGCCTGGATCTCTAGCTTGGTAGCAGATTACTTGCTTAGCATGCACAAGGTCCTGGGTTTAATATTCGGCATCTTTCAGAAACATTTCAGAGGCTGGCAACAGGGCTTAGCTGGTACAAGGGCTTGCTGCCAAGCCTGACAGCCTGAGTCTGCTCCCTAAGTGGAAGAAGAGTCCTGGTTCCCACAACTGGTTCTCTGACCCTCACAGACAGCTATATTTCACTTTTTAAAGTCTGGTCTTACCTTCAGAAAAGATGAATCTGCCATTGATTTCGGGATATGAATTGTTTGCATCTGAGTGGTTTTCCATAACTCCTGCAGCTTGGCAATGTGTGAGTACATTTTATGTCCCTCTTTGATTCTATCTGTAGGTAGAGACATGGCTTTCTGGGGCAAAGATCATTAATACAACACACACAGAGAGACAGAGACACACACACACACATTTATGGCTACTTGTGATTATCCCGAAACAGTTATAGGAGTATTTCAAATCAGATAGTTAAAACTTGAGGGACGTATAATATGCTCTTTATTTTTAGAGCACACAAACATCTAGAATTGACATGTCTCTAAGATGTCAATACATAACCACTAAACACATTAAAAGATGCTCAAAAGCCAAGAGCTGGTGGCACACACCTTTAATCCCAGCACTTGGGAGGCAGAGGCAGGCAGATCTCTGTGAGTTTGAGG